CATAAGACCGTCTCGACCAATGAACATCTAGCATAAAGGCGCCATATTGATTTACATAGCATGCTCATTGGTCGAGACGGTCTTATGCTATGCATATGCAGTTATGTCATTTTGTGTGTGATGGCCTTTAGGGTTATAAAACTTTTTTACATGCATAGCGACGATAGCGACATTTAATTGGGGACTAGAGTTTCTAAATATCGAGCTACCAACGTTGAAACAAGCAAAGAAACAATAATAATAATGATAACAAAATAGTACTAGCGCGAGAACTTCATCGACAACTCGCTGGACTGTCAACGGGGGTTTCGAAATGTGGGAGACGCGTGCCGATTCCGTCGTTTTATTCAAGTGATCTGATCCGGTTGTGGAAGAGTCACAAAAATCATGTGGCCGATGCGGCCGGAGATGACTCGTGACGAGTGCAAAAAATGCTTGCGACGCCTCGGTAAGGTTATGTGGCCTGAATAATTGCTTTGTTAGAGAGCAAGCCTAACTATGCCGCTTCTTGGTTCTCATCTAATTTTTATGTTACATAAATATTCTATTGTAAACGCGAGATTATTTCCACTGCGTTTCTATGCAATGCAATGATAATACAACGTAGAAATTATAGTTTCTGCTTCGTTTGTTTCTCGTGAAACTCGAGAATCACGTTTATCAGATTTCTAGAATGTGTATTTAATGATATACTTTGATATGGAAGACAAATTTTTATTTCTTACTCGATTACTAAATGCAACAGTTCTTTTGCCATGATAGTATTGAATTTGATATTTATATTAGATGCATAAAGCTTAGAGTTGGACAGCTGCGCTTTTAAATATAACACTAATTGGGAATTAAAATATAAGTCAAAACTCTGCATTCTTTTAATCTTTCTAGAATCTCAATGCGACTGCTCTCACCTCATTAACATTAGAAGACGACCTTTGCATTGCATAGATAAAGCGTGAAATTAAGTAATACATTTGTCAGCGAATATAAAGCAGAATATTAAATCAAGTTTCACATATTTTATACATACATAAGAATTTTATAATGTTTACTGAAAAATATATTTTATAAATATATAGAATATGGCTAAAGTAAAATAAAATATATAAATTTATAACATACTATTGTACATATTATTGTAGATAGATACATTATTTTACATACATGATTGTACAATAATATATTTCTATAAGCTACATGTATTTGATAATTGTTTAGCGGCATAATTTAATTTTGAGTACTAAATATATATTATATATTGATTTAATAAAAGTTTAATGATAAATGGACCTAAATCTTATAAAATTAATAACACATTATTAGATTAATTATTTTTTTATATTATATTCTAATAATATGTGTGATCTTTTGTGCTCTGCAGAATCGGATGCTTATGGAAGTATGGTTTCTGTCCTACGTGCTCAAGGCCCTTTTACTAATGATAAACAAAAGTTGTTACAAGAACTTGCTAAAGTATTACACATTTCTAACGAAAGGCACCGGTCTGAAGTACGGAGAGTTGTGAATGATGATATGCTTGCCACAATAGCAGAACAGTATGTATTTGTGAATTTAAAACCGATAAAATAGAAATATTTATACAATGCACATAAAACTATTGTGGAAATTAAACAAAAGTAGTTTATGAAGCTTGTTACATTACAAACTAGTGTAGAAATGCATTACAATATTGCAGAAAGTTGATTTATTTGTTTAAATAATGTGAAATTACTGTGATGCAGACTCAATGGTCCAAATACCGGTACAGATTGGGCCATCGAAAGTCGCCGAACTATTCCTCTCATGCCAAGATTAAAAGCGCGATCTGCTTTCACAACACTGGCAAATAGCTTATCTCTCGCAACTACAATCGCAGACGAGAAGAAACCTAATAGACATGTTATTCCTAGATGGCATGCAAACTCGACAGGTTCATTAAAATAACAATTACAATAGCGTATTTAAGTTATGTAATTTAAATTAATTATATTTTACATATATCTTCATTCACAGCTGCTGAAAGTGAATCACAAAGTGAAGTGCAAACAGAGGAAAATTTATCTGTTCACACAAAATTATGCAGTCTTGAGAATGATCTTGATATTAGCAAAATCTTAGAGGAAGTATGTAAAAATATAATGAATTTACATAATTATTTTTTTAAATGTTTTAATAACCAATTGTATTATATTAATATGTTAAAAATATGTTTTCATATTTAATAATAATATAATTTTATTTGTAGAATTCAAATTTGGCCAAAGACGAAAAGATAGATGATAAAGATAAAGTCAGTAGAGTTTCTGAAACACCTAAGATATCAAGACTTCCTGAAAAGCGCAAACAACTTTCTCCATTGCCAGCAGCACCACCGAATAAAGTTTTAGTGGTATCTAAAACCACACCATTAGACCACAATTTTTGGACAGTTGAAAATGAGCAAGCATCGTCGCAAGTACCATCAGCAATTACGCATCATCAAAATGTTGCAGTAATTTCTTCTACTACTGATGAGATTTCAAGTCAGTATTTCTTTTTCTCACTCGCAATATTGAATTTTTTTGGAAATACAATCAAATAATATGTAAAGATATATAATGTTTTTAAATTATCAGATTTTGCTATTATTTTTTCACCAAAAATTTGATATATTTTAATATTTGTAGTAAGTAGCTTAATATTTACATTGTAAGTTGAATATCTTCTATAGATCTTTTACTTAATGTTTAATTTTTCTATCCTAGCAAATTCAAATTCTAAAGAGAGCATAACAGCGTCAGAATACTTAAGTGGACACACAGCAGTTTCATCAGACAAACCTGTAGCCATTACAACAATTTCTGTGTGCACAAGTAATACTAGCGAGCCTACGACGGTACCAAGTATCATAAAGAATAAAGTTAGTACAAAAATAGTGCCGGCGGTATCGAGCAGTACATTGAACACGCCGCTAAAGGAACAGTCGGAAAATAAAGACGCGCACTCTCAAGATGTCGCAAGTACGTTTGTATTTCGAATCTAGATAAAATTTTATTTAAAAAAATTTTTTTACACCATATTCACAATCTATTTCTATGTTATTTCAAACATTAAAGATTTTTTCTTTGTCTCAGATAATACACAGAAAAGTGCAAGATCTGAAAACACTAACTCGAATCCGTCATGTAATAAACGATCTATGGCGTCAATCATACACGAAGCCATAATGTCAAGTAAGCCTATTGTTGATACAAATGTGGAAGAAGTGTGAAGAGGCCGTATTATTTTTAGTATATCTTAAATATTATGAAATCATAAGAGCAAATAAAATGTTTAGGTACTCCGCATCGACATACAGTGGCCGTGTATCCTGGTACCACGGTATCGAGCGGTCCTGGGCCACCTCAGATTAAGCAACCTTCTGAAACATTAATGTGTAAGAAACTGCCATCTGAACAAATCAAGATTTTTAATCAATCCACTGCCAAAACCGTAAGTTTAAAATTAATTCCGTTTATTTGATCTGTGTTGTTGAAATCCAACAATGCCCAAAAAATAGATTAAGAAAATTACAAAAGTTTCAAAATGCAAACTTTTCAGGGTGCTACGATAAATTCCAAGAAAGTTGTAAATATACCTCATTACCCTAACGCTAAATTAAACACCAAGACTAATGTGATCGTTATCCAGAAGGGTCACACGAAAGGTGTCACGCTATCGCATGCAGGCAAGGTATTCTATTAAATCGATTCTATGAAATGCAAGGATGAATCAAACGGTAATTCAAGTCCAATTCATCGATATATCATTGCATTGACAGTTACCGGCTTTTTTTCAGGAAATACTAGGAAAAGTAATAATAGGAGGAAAGAATTTATGCGTTACGAGTCAGCATAATACAAATTCGATTAGTGTTCAACCGCATCATATCTCCCTGAATAATGGGGATCAAACAAAGACTGCGCTACCGACTGCAAACTCTCCGCAGAATGCAGAATCCGTCAAAACAAATGTAAAAAATAGTTTTTTCTTATTTTTTTTCCTCGTCGGCATTACTTTGGTTTGTCCCCTCGATATTGTACTTACAGTAGCGTTTTGCAGTCTGGAAAAACAGCGGTTGTATCCGTGGTCACGGCTCTGCGACACGATCTGACGGACAAGAACAAAGCTCTGTCGCAGCTCTTCGACCCGCCTGACGGTCTTAACTCGGAATCTAAAACTGTGATACCAAACAATGCGCGCTTGCTAAAGGAGGAATGCAACAACGACGCAAATACGGTCGATCGAAAGTCGGCTCTGAAAACAGATCCCGTTGACACTCTCGCGTTAGAAGAAAAGCAGCACAGGTTAGTTCAGATCATAGTTACAATAGAAATTGTAACGGTCAACACTTAACTTCTCCAAGGACGAATTTATTAAAGCTGTAAAAAAACTAGTTTTATTTAAAATTTATTTATAATTATCTAACAAGCGAGTATTTATTCGTCATTAATTTTTATTGTATCTTTTTTGATGAAGTTTGAAGTAAATAAAACATATAAATGTGTGCCTCAAGAAATCAAATATACGACGAAACTTGAAGATATCTTAATGAGTTACTTTTTCTCTCTCTGCAGAAACAATAAAGACATTAACGAGAGCATGAAATCTCAGGTAGCAAATCTCTTAGATTCCTCTAATTCGCTGGAAAGCAGGGAAATACTCGCCAGGCAAAAGCAACTCACCAATACTATGCAAGGTACATTACATTATAACGTCTTACAATCAGACGTAATTTTAAATAAGAGAATGAAAGAATGTTATTAGAAATAAAAGTAATGAATTTGGGACGCGCCTCATATTTCCAAGCCGTTAAAGAATGCGCTCAACGCTCTGTTTTATGTAGATGACGCTGGAAGCAACATTCGGGTAGAAGATTCCGACGAAAACATGGATGCGTTTGGCGCGACGTTAGACACGACGGATATAAATCTGGAGAACTTCCAATACCTAGTAGACAACGACGACAGTCGGATCCTGGAAGAATCGGCGAGGTCGATGATGACCATAAATCAGGTGACCGAGCACGACGATTCGTAACGTCTAAGAGGGTCTTAACGCCGTGCTCGTTACAATTGTTGCACAACGGCGAGGATAACGATACTTTCAGTTTAGAGGCATAGTCTATAAGTATGTTTCAACGAGATTTACCTGCGTAAGCCTACTTATTCGCTTGTTGGAAGATTTCGATGATGATTTGTGAGAGAACCGTGAACGATCGATTGCAGTCTTTTTAATTATTTACATAACGTAGAATGAGTAAGGCGATCTGATCATTTATGAAAATGAAAAGTTTCGATACGGAAATTCAATCATACTGATTGATATTAGTACTGCATGTAAGTGCCAAATCCATGATCTGCCGTTAATTTATACTTTTGTAAAGAAAAAAAAAAAAAAGGAAAGCAACCATGACACGCGCGTTGTGTATTCATTCATTCTTTTTCATAATCTTGTCAGTTTGTACTGTAAATTGTTCCTTCATCGAATTTTAATTCATTATTACGACTCTTCCATTTGTTAACGGAAACGGAACTGTAAGCTGGATGCTGCATGCAGCGCTAAATACTGATTATTATTCTATTTCTTGTTTTTTTTTCCTTTTTTTTTAATTTTTTTTTTTACCTTGAATGTGTTCTTGTGGCAGCTATATTTAAACGTAGCTCTTTGATTAAAATTTTTTGTATCCCCACTGTATATCCAGCTGCGGCAATCAATTCGCTATTATGACTCTCCTATTTGTTTTAAAGATGAACGAAATATCAGCAACTACGAATTCTATTTTGCATATGTTGCATGGTAAAAAAAAGTGTCAAACTGCACATACGCTCGGAAAATTGTTTTGTACTTCTGTCCGTAAATATGTAAGACTAAACGTTTCTGTGAATGTGATATTATGGTGTTAAGTACTAGAAGTTTGGTTCTGTGAATCTGTCACTTGCTCAGACTACTGCTGCAGCGGCGCCTGTAAATACTGTATAAAAATACCGATGTACTCGGATTATTGAGAGGAGATTGTTACGGGCGGATTGAGATAAGTTTTATATGTATGGACACATACGTGTGTACGTATATATAAAAGTACCCTCTTCCGCCCTGCTGCCATTAATAAAAGCGTGAATGTTAGCTAAAACTCGATCGACGATAGCTTTAGTTATTTTATCAATAGAAGCGTACCATTTTCTATCTTTTTTTAATAAAATTTACTTATATAGGGCGAAATCGACAGTCTCTGCTAAATAGTAGTATAACAGGAAAAAGGCTATATATTTTTCATAAATAAAGCAACACTGCCCTTTGATTCACAATATTGCGATATTCTGTTACTCAGATTTTTTATCGTAGCCGTATTTTAGGCAGATTTTTCGCCAAGTTCGCAAGAATATTTTCGCCTAAGTCGCTGTACGAATTAATAAGCAGCGTAATTGCAATCTTCGCCAATAAAAAAAATGTTAGGATATTAAATTTTCTCAATTGAGCACACGTTCTGAATGTACTGAGTGTTTTATATTTCTCGCATCTGTTTTCGCATATAATTCCAAAAAAGATAGCAAATAATTTTAATAGATTACTCTCTTCAATTACTTACTAGAATCTCAACTTAAAACTTTGTTACCGAGGTACAAAAGCGAATGTTAAAAACTGATAAAAAAGTGTACGCTGACATACGCATTCAGTCAATTTAAGGTACAGATGAAAGCTGATGCGGTAAATCTGAAATACTTTATGTATATAATGCCAATGCAAATTGTGTACAGATATTTATAGCTAATTGTGAAAAAATAAAAATATTCAAACGTAAGTAAATTTATTATTACATCTCTTTAAATATTTAATAATATTGATATACTTTTCTTGTTTACATAATATTGTTTAAAGAAACTAAACAGTTGGATAATAATATTGCGCTATATTATTGCTGTAGATTTTATTGCTTCAGCACAAAATACTTGTTGACTGCGGTTGTATGCACTTCTTAGCAAATTAATTAAATATTGAAAGGTTCATGAAAATTACAAATCTACTTTCAAATATATCGATTTCTTTCAAAAAAGCAAGAATGAAAACATGAATGTTAATTTTCACTGACGTTTACGAAAATAAGTATTAAATTCCAATCATTTAAAGCTATTGTCACCAATTTTGACTTAATAAAACTTATACATATTGGTGGTCCTGCGCGTATTGAAAAAAATTTCTGGGATACTGTATATCAATATGAAAATCTTATTGTTTTTTATTGTATTATAAAATATAATAATACAAAGCTGTTAATACGGACGAGGAGGTGGACCACCACGCATTAAACCAGGAGGCGGGCCTCTCATCCCAGGTGGTCCCATGGGTGGACCACCGCGTCCGATAGGCGGCATTCCGGGTGGCATTCCTGTAATTAGCAATTGTACAAATTTTCGTAATTGATATGTCTAACTAGAAATAATTCCATATATTTTAGTTTAATGAAAAGTTTCATAAATAATCGGCGGACAAAAAGAAACACACATCAGGATTCTTATTTAGAAAATATAGAAAAAAAGTGCATAAAAAGGAAAAACAGCAATTTTTCAAAGATATTTGCGTTAAGAAAGAAGAGTCTTACCCATCATTCCAGTCGGTGGTCCCATCATTCCTGGTGGTGGTCCACCAACCGGCATACGTGGAGGACCACCGGGATGTATTTGAGGCGGTGCCGAGACTTGTCCTCTGCTCCCAGGTGTCATAATTTGTTGCGATGGGCCTCCAACGCCCCTAACGGGACCCTGAAGTCCAGCTGGCACTCCTGCAACATTCGCCGGCATACCTCTACCTGCAGCACGAGCCATGCCTGGTCCTGGCGCTGCACCAGGGATCGGTACTCTAGGCAATCCTTCTTCCGGAGGTGGTGGACCTTCCACCGTCATGGAAACTATGTTTTCGCCACGTAGAAGCACAAATCCTAACACACGCTTTTCCTCCCTTTCTGGCTGCTTAGTATTCTTTGGCTTAATTTTACGGAATTCCTCACAATCACCAAGTATCAAGTTCATATGCTTGTCAAAAGCCTTAAATGTACCTATGAATGTCCTAGAGTCTTGCAAAATAATCCTGACTCTATAGTTGATGTGTTGTAACATCTTATTATTTTTGCCGATGGTCTGAAAGTAAATAATAATAATGTACAATATAAACATTTTTATATTATCAATAATATATCGGTTAAAAAAACTGAAAAATTTGTTACATGTAATTTATTTACACTATTTCAGATATTAGGTTAGAAAGGCACTTTGCACAAGTTACTCAAATTTCGACCTAATTGACTACCGGCATAAAAAAATTGCTAAAAATGAAAATACTTTTTGTTTTTGACAGTATTTATCTTAATATTTGCATTTATAATTGTAAACTGTCATAAATGATTTTAGCGGTATCTGCTACAAAACCAAATTTAAGATGTAAGTATAGAAGAATAAGATAAGGTTAAATAACTGTGAAGTTTATCATTATTTCAACAATAATTATTTTTGCTACTTACCATCTTGGCAGTTTTTTTGAAAAACTTTTCAGAATTCTTTCAGAACTTTTATCGCCTAACCTCTCTTCTTCTGAAAATAGAAGACCCTCAAAAAGCGGTAGAAGAGTAAGTGGCAAAATACATCTAGCGGTAGCGTGTTGCACTTAAGCATCACGCGAAGTATCAACCAACGATAAATACTTTGTAAGTAATACCAGATGTCCTAACTAGACCGGAGGATGATCCTACTTGTGGCTCATTCGAGTGCATAGTTTGACAGACCGACCGAATCGATTTAATTGAATAAAAAAATTACTTGATATGGTTAATACGATTGGAAGTCAACTTTAATATAATTTTAACCTGTCAAACTATGCACTCAGATAAGCCACAAGTAGGATCATCCTCCGATCTAGTTAGGGCAAGAGAGAAACCTGAGAGGGGCCACGCTGCCGTTTTTCGTAAGACGCTTTTTCTAGATCGTACACTAACGGAGCGTACATCCATTTTACAGCCTGCCTGGAACTACATGACCACATCTATTTTCCGGTAAAAAATCAAAGAGTAATAATAACATCATCAATATTATTATTATTTACATTTGTTATATTTAAGAAAAATAAATAAGCTAGAAATGCAACTAAAACGAACAACGTTCTGCCTATCGTACACACCACCAGATTTAAGACGCAAGCGTCGGAACTTTATTTTTATATTGATTTTTCAGAAAATAATAATTTTTTAAAATGAACGGGTACCATATGGCATACCTTTTTACTAGACTGAAACACTTCACTTTTATTTTTTATTAACAAAATTTAATTTAATTTTTAATCTAAATAAGGCATAACGTTTTATAATCTTTTTTTTTTAATTATGACACGTTGGTATAATATAAGATATATTATTAAACTTGTTTTCAAAAAACTGTTATTATAATAATTAAGAGGATGCTGGAGTTCTGTTTTACCACATGAATGCTGTATTTTTCCTGACTTTTTTCTAACAAATACAGCTTTTTTCTGCCTGCATAGAATTAAAAATTCTTTTGCAGGATTAAAGAGCACACAAAAAGGGAATTCGCGTTGGTCGAAAAATTCGGAAAAATAAAGTTATTTATAACATTAATTTTATT